AGAACTGATATATCAGGGACGCTACTTGGTTTCATTGAGAAAATGAAAGAAAGAAAGAAAGAAGTGCTTAACCTCGGTTGGAAACAGAAGAAGTTGTCAATTTCAAATCTTTTTATTTGTAAACCCTCACTTATAAATACATTTATTAATAAAAATGTTTGCAAGAGAAATTTTCGGATTGAGGAATCGGAGAGCCGAGTTCGAATTCCAGTTGAATCCATTACGTTCTAATACACTTGGGAAAGGCATGAATCCTCTTCTTCTACCCCCAGCTATGGATAAATTGTAGGACCGTCTGGGTTCTATAGCCTTGGATGGCAACTGGTCTTCCGCAGAAAGAAATTGCAACCTACTGCGGGAAAATATCTACATCGTCAGTCATGTATCTTTTGATGCATAATCGCCTAAGCGTGTATAACGCATGGCACTTAACTGACTGACTAAATATAAAAAAGAGAATGCAAAAGAACTTAAAGTTTTTGATATTTTACAAGCATTTGTTGCTACATATTTGGCGATAGAGGAAAATTAGCCATAACTGACAATATAGTTTCTTAGTTTCAGAAGCAACACCTCGATTTTAACTTGACTCAATAAAACTAAAATCTTAACCTTAATTACACCATTCTTGACAGCATCAAAATATATTGCCTTCTAAGTTTACACGACGGTTCGCGCGATGTTATTTTAAAACGTTAATTTATAATCAGATGGCTTCACAGAAATAAGCGAGAGGCGCAAAAAAGTACGGAAAAACTGCAATAAATATAAAGAGTCCAGAGAAATAATATAAAAAAATGCTTCAGAAATATTAAAAGAATATTTACGACCCTCTAATTTTCGAGAGGATCACTTCAAGTAACCTTAAAATGGTTTGAATATATATTTGTAGAACTTACGTAAGTCATTAATAATTACATTATTTCAAGCATTATTTGTTAAACTTCCAAGGAGGTGACGTGTCATTTACCGTTGAAAAATACCTGAAAATTGGAATCTTAATTTGACGCAAGCCTTGTCAACAAATTTTTACAGAAGCCAAAATATCGCAACTCATCGTCAGTTCAACTATTGACCTCTTTTTTTCCCAACCCTTAACCTTCTAAGGTCGTAGGGGAACCACAGTCGCAGCATTAACAGTGGTGTTTCCTGGGCAAGAGAGCCCGGCGTAACCCAACACTCTCCAGGCTGGTTTTTCCTTCTCTTTGACCAGTTGCCATCCATTTACCCACCTGTCGCACTTTTTCAATTAAAGAGACACAACTCTCAAAACTGATCTCCCTCGTTGACCTTTTAAAAGGTAAGCTTAAATATTAATGCAATAATTAAATGCAGCGATTAATTTTGAGGTCTTCTGTAGTTTATTGTTAACTATCGCATCTACTCTTCCCTACCTACTGTGATAAAGGCCTCATCAAGAACCTTCCACATAGAGAGGCTTTTAAGCTAGTCTATAGATAAAGCATGACGGGAAGGAGTCAGATATTTCTTTGGGCGATAGAATGAGCCGATGTTGTCTTTTCCTGGATTAATGGATTCTTTATATAAGTTCCACTCAAAGTCTCGTGTGAATATTTATAAACATAGACTGACAGAGAGAGAGAGAGAGAGAGAGAGAGAGAGGCGTGGAAGAATCACTATTAACGTATTTAATGATTTTTATAAATCTGCAATTTTATCGTTCCTGGCATGGCATCTCATCTTCAGACACTTTTCCATCGCCGCAACGCAGCTCCCCTGTGCCTTTTATGTAAATAAATGCTTTAATGGCAATTGTTTTGATGAAATTTCCCGAATATATGAATTTAAGCGTAATACAAGACTGGCGGTAAGGTCACATTATTTTACAGTCGAAATGACTCGATGTAACCGCAAGTTCTATGCTAACAGTTTCTTCTCTCGCATTTCTCTCTTGTGAAACTCTCTTCCGTCTTCTTGCGTTCCAGTTAACTTTGATCTTCAAAAATTTAAATGCAGTGTCAGTCTTTTGCTTCTGGCTTCTAAATTTCTGATCTTATACATATGCATTTCGCTCCTTAATAATGTCTGTCATATTCTTTCCCACTCTTCAACCCTCTGTGTATTAGTGGCTTTGTAGCGTTGCTTGGGGCGAAATCATTGCAAAAAAAAAAATTCTTCTGTTAATTCATATATGAATCTGTGTTCGAAAGCTCTTCTACCTTTGAAATCACGGTACGATTATATTTATATTTTGAAATTTGCTTCTTGCAAATTTGGGAGGAATACTTTTGAAATAAATCATCAAACAACTTTACCTAAAAATTAGATGAATTTCAATTCAAAATGCACTAAAAGCTTTTAAAGTTGCAGGATTCGATCAGGTAAGTCTGTTATCAAACGTATATAAAAGTTTTACTAAAATATTCCAGTCCAACGGAAAGCAGTGTCTATCTGTATATTAGTATTATGCCATGAAAAACATTATTGCTGTTACTTTCTGTTTGTTCTTCCCACCAAGCTTGTCGGGTAACTATTTTCCTTATATGTTCCTTTTCTCATACGGTACAGTCGCATCATTTCATTGATTGTGTTGAAACTTACTGTAAATTTACAACATACTGTTGTTCATCCAACAAATCCGCTCAAAATATTTGTTTGATCAATTCGAAAAATCCACACAGTGATACAAGACTGTGTAGTTTAAAAAGATTATTCCCTGAAACATTAATTTTGGCTTAAGAAGACATGGAATCGGTTCAATTAGGTTATGTGTTCGTGTCTGTTAAAAGTAACAGAGTCGATAAGTATAATTTTTCAACTGAATAAAATTTATGTGTGGAAATGCAGCGAAAATTGCTATTTCAAAATTTTCCTTTTAAAATACATCTCTAAAAGTAACTTTACATAAGAGAAATGAGAAATCCGGAATGTCTTTGGGTCATGAGTAGGTCTGCTACTTAGACATTCCATCCATAATTCTATTAAATGTAAGAAGAGCGTTCCATTTTTAGTGTCGTTGGCAGAAGAATACAAAGCGCGCCAAAAAGCTTACTGTGATAGTCTTCTTCTTGAAGACACAATTACTAAAATAGGAGTCTGAAGAATGCTAACAAATTCTGGTATGAGGTAATTAAACGGCAAGCAACTGCACGTATCCAGACAGAAAAAAAGCAGTTCTTTTTCACATAAAATTTTCCCTTGGAAATGTGAAGAGAATTTCTCTTGCGTATCAATCTAATAGTTTGCCAGCTTACCTCCTCTTGTCTTTCTATTGACTTGGTTTCATGGAGAATAAACCTGTACGACTGCCAGATTTTGGATGATATATTTTTGGTTAGCATTTCCCAAAATGAAAGACTGACACTACACATTATTTTCTTGTAATCCATTTAGTTGTCAATTCTTTTGAATGTCATCTCCCTTCAGTTCGTGGTCGATCATGGCTCTCTACAACGTCCTGACTTTTGTTTTTTATTGAACTTTAGATTCTTTACCTTCCATCTTTGTCATCGTTTTGCCATCCATTCAAAATATTTAAGTAGGTTACCCACTGTTTTCACTTGTTTCTGTTGCCTTTAATATCTTATGAGTGTTAGATTCTCTATGCCTACTTTTTTCATTGTGTCCCAGATATTTCTAAAAAAAATACTTTCCTTATTGTTCCTATCTTTCTTAAAACATCTTATTGCTCACATGTTCTTTTCTTGATATTCTTAACATCTACTTCGTTCGAAACTTTGACTTTTTAACAACTTTAGTAAAAACACTTTTTTATTGCAGTGTCTGAACTAAAGCTAGAACAATGGAGCATCCACAGAGAGTAAATAACATTATTAAAAAATATAAGTCACAGTGTACGGAGGACAAAATGAGGACCAGGCGTGTATTTCAAAAAAGAGATTGTAACCTAATTAATGCTGTTTAGTACGTGAAAATAGGAAGAAAATTATTGTCCTTTGACACTGAAATTATTAAGATCTTACAATTGGATGTTGATATATGTTTACCAAGATTTTCTAAAAACATTTCTATAATAATTTTATTCATTTGAGGATAACTTGCAATATTCGGACTATTATCCTCATTGCCATATTCACAAAGCTTCCGACGTTATACGCTCCAGCCATCTTCAGGTGATTGGAATTTTGAATCGACACCTTCATTTCGTTCCCCGTGCAGTGCCTCTTCCGGATGTCTTAGTTATTTCCCTTTAATTCAACTCTTCGGTTCACCACTGCTGTGGCCTGGTATTGCACTCACACCTCTTTTGGTATATTTCACTGGATCTAACCAACGTCTTTATCCAATGGGCCATTTTACCAGTGTTCATATAGCAATTTTTGTTATTATTTTTTTTTTTTACTAGACCTTATATTACAATTTTTAAATCGGTGGACGAAATAAAGGGTTCGGCTCGAAATTCCAATCACCTGAAGAAGTCCGGAGAGTACAACGGCGGAAAAGCTGTGAATATGCCAAGGAAGATGAGGGTAACAGTCCGAATAATGTAAATAATGCAAGCTATCATAATAACTCATTTCAGAGATATAGACAGATATTTGAGAATAAGTTTTGAATTTTTCATTAAAATTCGATAATATTTGATTTTTTTCAAGAATTTCGAAATTAATGTTTGTCACCGAAAAAAAAAAAAGACTTTAAAAATTTACTAATTTTTAATCCTCCTCGAAGATTCTGAAAAGGATAAAAAATAATTTAATAAAAAATTCTTTGATCTTTCCTCTTAATAATAACATAGAGATTTTGACTATAATTTTTTTTATTAAGTTTAAATCGTTTTATCATAATGGTATACCTATAGTTTTAGCGAATAAAAGTTCTCCTCATATCCAACTGTCTTAGACTTTGGTGCTGGAATTCAGCGAAAGTGAGAATATATCTCTCGAAAGATTTCCCCAAGAAGATTAACGGTAAACTGATTTTCCTGTTGAAACCAACAGTAATCAACTCGTAATTACTGATGAGTTGGTGGTAACTACAAAGGAAAATAAATTTACAAAGAGAGCAGCAGATGGGGGTTAGTAGAAGAGAGAGAGAGAGAAAAAAGAAATATAGGAAGAGAAATAATATGAGAAAAGGAGAAAAAAGAGAAAGAAGGAAATGGAGTGAGATGAGATCGAAGAGATATAGAAATATAAGGAGGGAAAGAGACAGTCGGAGAGGAGAAAGATTAACAAAGATGGAAAGAGAGAAGAGGTAGTCGTAGATAAAATTATGATAATAGAAGAGAAGGAAAGAGCGAAATAAAAAAAAAGAAAGATATAAAAAGAAAGAGAGCGAAAGAGTGCGAGAGATAGAGAAAAAGAAAGGGTGACATGGAGTGAAAAAAGAGGAGAAAAAGATAGAGAAAGATGGTAGTGATAACATGTTGAAAAAGTGAGAGACAGATTGTAGGGCATAGAGAAAGAGAGAAGTAGAAAAGGCAGAAGGAGAGAGAACGAGAAAGAATGATAGAGAGAAAGTGAGAGCAAAAATTGTAAGATAGGGAGGCATAAAGAGAGACGAGGAGAAATAGGGGAGCATTTGGGATGAAGAAAGAAAGAAACAAAGTCAGTGATAAAGGAAGAAAGATGTGAAGATGGAGTATGAGGAGAAAGAAGAGAAAGACATACAGTATTGGTGAATGAGAAAAATAAAGATATAGATAGATAGATAGATAGATAGATAAGCGACGTTAAAAAAAACAATAAAAACGGAAAGAATAATTGTTTTCTATGATTAGATTAAACACAATATCCTTTGCTTCATACTTGTACGCAATCTTCAGATGGCCGGAAGATTGCGTTCAAGCAGAAAACAGACTATCACCACACGATTTTGACCTCAGTATCCACTCTGATATATATATATATATATATATATATATATATATATATATATATATATATATATATAACCAATCTTCGCAGGGTCTTTCATTACTGGGAATTTTTGCCGTTCAATTGGAGCAGTTTAAAGTCAGCCCGAAAATCAATATCAGCAATATTGAGTGCAACTGAGGCACATCCTCAAATGTGGGGGTTAACAATTTAAATGGGCTGGTAGCCCTGAAAAGGGCCATTTTTGCGTTCCCAATCTTGTTTCAGCTTCACGCAAAGCGGCAGTTGAAGAGGCGTTTCTCCTCAGCCGTTGAGTCCTTTGATCAGCAGTTTCAGCCTCAGGCGCAGCAGCGTTCAGGTATGCTCTTCTGGAAAGCCAATGGCTAGGTTGATCTTCGGACTCAGTGGCTCTGATTGAAGCACTCCAAGAGGCATTTTGAGACAGGCAAACTGGACTTTCTAAAGACGATTCGTTATCTCTTATTGGTATGGCGGGCCTGACGGTAACGGATTTGCGATCTAGACAAGTTCTTTTCTTTCGTAGCATGTCTTAGGCAAGTATGAATTGTCAAATGGAATGCATGGGCAAATACCTGAAGAGAACGTTGTAAACCTACAGGAATCACTAAGCTGAAATAACTTTAGGAAAGTTTGAGAAAATAAATGTTGAGTAATAAAAAATCAAGCTTCCTTATTACTACAGTGAATGCAATGCAAAAACCGACAGGAGAATAAAAATAAATAAATTGGGAATGGCTATAAGCAACAACGAAAGCAATGCCTTAAATCTGTAGTAGTAGGATTTATGCAACGGAAAAGGTAACTTCACTTGAGAGAGATTGAATGCTTTACCAAGAGAAGGGGAATTTGCAATTTGGACTCAAAAAACGACACTGAAAATTTATCTATCAAATAAAAAAAAAAATTAATCGAAATCGGATGAAAACTGTGGAAACGCATAAACAACATCCGATCACACACACACACACACACACACAAAAAAAAAAAAAAAAAAAACACACACATTTTGAGAATTATAGATATAGATAATTTAAGTGTAATAATTTAAAGTATTTATTTTTATTAAAGTTTTTATGGAAGATATATATCTAAGAACAGTTAGTAAATAGTAAAACTTTGGTGAGAGTTATAATGGACAGGAAGTATTGGAGATCCATTGTCGCCAACAACATCCGATCACATACACACATACATGCACAGATTTTGAGAATTATATATATATATATATATATATATATATATATATATATATATATATATATAAGTGACAATAAATTATGTTTGATCATGAGCCCTTCTAAACATTGTATGGTTGCTTTAATTTCGTGTGAAAATAAAGACAAGACAAAAACTGTCCAACATTTGGATATTTTTTTATTAAGCTGTTCTTTCATCTAAGATTTCGGCTCTCATGAGCCATTTTGAGAGTGGTTATACAGTCATTTAAACAAATATATTCACCATCAAATATGATATTCTGTTATGTTGACATTAACGGTCACGGAATAGCAGGCAGAGGTCATAAATTTGTGATGCGGTTCTATGATGTCGTACCACGTGTGAGACTGAAATATTAACAACAGAACCATATGTCTAGATGCAATATAATGTATTGTGAAATGTAATTTTGTTGAGTATGGGTTGCTTTGCTTTAATGTAGATGGCCTCCAATATCTGAAGGTTCTCTTACTGTGTGTATGTGTGAGGACTGTTGCGTTATTAACTAATATATTTCTAATATTATGTACATGGATACGTTTTCCCAAGAAATGTTGTTTAATAGAATTAATATCAGAAAGGTGCCAGGTAAGTCTACAGGAGACCGCGGTTGTAGTAAATCCAATATATGTAGTGGGTTTATTATTAATATCGGATATAATCTCTGAACGGGCATGTAAAATGATACACTACATTGATCAAACATAATAAACATTCATTTCTGTTATATTTATTTTTTAAATAATGATTTTCTGCCCCAATACAATATATATATATATATATATATATATATATATATATATATATATATATATATATATATATATATTTTATTTATTTAAAATATGATTCCAAATCGCTACATAAGAGATCTCATGTTTCAAAACAAGAGCTTGAACTCAATTTAATTTAAAGGATTATATTGAAGTTTTCGGCTCTTGTTTTGAAACATGAGACCTCTTATGTGCGATTTGAATCATATTTTTTAATAAATTATTATATTTATGCTCTACTTTTGTATCGAGCACTATTTTTTAAAATATTAACTAAAATAATAATAAGGACTTTGGATTTTTACCTAACCAGTTCCTTCCTATTTTCTATATATTTTCACACACACACACATATATATATATATATATATATATATATATATATATATATATATATATATATATATATATATATATAAGGAAGGGAAAATAAGTAATTCCTAAAAAAGGATTTACTTACGTTTTAAATTTTATGAATTAAATTCCAGTAAAGCAGCAAACCTCCCATCTACCACGACTGTTAATTTCAAGCACAGAGCTCAAAATTCCGGTGGTCAGTTTCTGTGATCGGATATAGACACCTTTAAACACCCAGTTGAGTGCAAAATGGCAAGATATTTAACCAATAATAACACCGACAAAAGTCGCCCGGGGAGAGGGTAGCCCAATCAATCAAGATTCAAAATGCTCTACATCATCGTGACATCGTGAGCCCACATGACAGAGCATTTAATAAGGAAGATAAATACATTCTAGACACTGACCGCCTGGAGATTGCTCGCATGAAGCTTACAGTCGTCGTCGGTCGCTACTTTATGGTATTTACTTCATCCGACTTGGCATCAGTCAGAGACTCTACCCCTAAGCCATCGGCGCACAGCAGAGAGAGGGAATCTTTTAACGTATTATATACATGATGTATACAAACGCCAAACGAGTAGCCAAGAGCGCTCAATTGATAATTGAAGAGCGATGCGTTAATAGCAGGGCAGCCACTGTTAAAACTTTTTTATCTCTATAGTGCTCAATCAGTGAACGAGAGCAGAAATAATCATTACTTTTACGGAATTTACTAGGATAGCTGCTCTAGTAGACGAGTAACGACGAATACGAGTTGTTTAAGTGATAACGGCTATATTTCGAATTTTTACCCTCTTCTCTCTCTCTCTATCCTCCACTTCCACACACACACACACACACACACACACATATATATATATATATATATATATAGTTAAATGCAAGGAAGCCAATAAAACTACTAAGATGCAATTGGTTACTGAGTGTGACAGAAACAGAGAAGACATTAAGATGCTTCAAAGTAACTGAAGATGACGGTTCGAATTTTGAATGTTGAATTTAAATGTTTAAAGATCGCTGTTGTCAGAAAAGCAGGAAGCCGGAAGAGAGTTTCACAAGCGAATGTTCTTGGAGAAAAAAATCTATTAGAATACAACTTACGGATACAACTAGCAATTTCAACTGTGAATTTATGAGACCCAGCTGCCAATCTAGTACTGCGATTAAATTTGTTAAATCAAGTAACCAAAGAGGAAAACTTATTACCCTGAAAATATTTATAGAAGTGGTAAATGGTAGTTAGGCTAATACCATGGGGATGACTGAAGCCAAGATGCCAGGTCAGGACCGATATCATTGCAGATTCCTCTTTGAATTTTGTCAAGAATCACTAGATATAAAACAGAAGTCCGAGAACAGATGCGGTAGTAATATTCCATGCACAGACGATTGGTAGACTTATAAATGTGCAAGATATATTCTGCCGAGAAAATTCTCGACATTTTGAAGCCACTTTCCTAGGAGCAGAGTGAACAAATGATTTGGTATAATCCTTGAACTTCATATCAGTGGAAAACTCGAGACCAATAAGGCGCAGTAAGTTGCTTGCATTAAGATTAGTACCGACAATGCTGATGAAGATAAAGATCATTAATAAAGAGTATTTTTGCTTTCGAAGCGTTCAAATTAACAAAATACTAACTATCAATAGGACGCCTTATCAGTACAAATCTTGAAAGAAAAAAAAAAAAAGAAAAAAAATGAAAGAATAAAAAGAAACAGATACTAAACCAAACAAAAATCAAAAGTGCTCAATGTCTACAGAAAGCTGAAATCGAAAACTACACTCAGGTAACCATAACAACAAAGATGAATCTATTGGTGGACACCAACCCAAAACAGTAAGTCTTATTACTTTCATACTAACCACCATGATGTTCAGGCGGCTAAAATCTTAATTGTTTGAAGATTAGATTGACATGAAATTCAGGGTTACAGATGGATTACAATTGGATATATGTTCCTAGTCTGATTTTTAGTTGTTTGCTGTATATATATATATATATATATGTGTATATATATATATATATATGCTGTATATATATATATATATATATATATATATATATATATATATGAAAACAGTCTTAAGGTGTGCTATATTTATGTGATAAAATTATCAATATAACAGATAGAGTGCGTGTAAAATTAAAAGTGAACATTGAAGTCAAAATTTAGAGGCGACAGGCTGTTTCATGTTAGACGCATTCGTCAGGCCTGACGATTACATCTAGCATGAAACAGCCTATAGTCTCTAAGTGTTGACTTCAATGTTCACTTTTATATTGATATATATATATATATATATATATATGTGTGAGTGTGTGTGTGTGTGTGTGTTAAAAATAAGAACGAAATTATAAATTTAAAATCAAGTTTTCAAAAAATTCAAAGCTAAAATTTATATAAAAACTCAGGTTTAATACAAAATCCCATTCCTTGATGTCGATACAGAACTAAATTCCAAAATATTTACTACCTACCCGTATTAAAAAAAAAACACCAGTACGAGCTCTTAAATAGAGAACACAAAAATTCCTTGTCCCAAAGAATAATTTTGTGTGAACTAAAACCCATGAAATAAACATTAGTCAACAATAATTTTCCCAACTACAAAATTGATAAACAAATAGAATTATTCTTACAAAAAATACACAGCACTAGTAATAAAAATACCACACAACAAAAATCAACATTTTTACTACAACTAATTATAAGCATGACGAATTTGCTCTACGAAGAATCATTAAACATCATATTTCTGCCATAAATTCCGAAAAACATGTGAAACTTATAGCATATTACAGAAAACGGAAAACCTTAAACCTTTTTGTCAATAATCAAAATAACCCTATCAAATCTATAGCGAGGACCAATAGTGTATCAATTTCACTGTCCAGTATAAAACTGTGTTTCATGTCACAATTCAGTTACCTATATCGGACATACTGCTACCTCCTTGAGTATGCGTCGCATGTTTCATTTATTAGATTAAAGTGCTATAAAAAACATCTGTTAACCATAATTTACAAAACGCCTTAACATACTTAAATTCTATATAAATCATATTACAGAAAGTATCTTGCTATTAATGAGGCCCTGTCTATGAAACATCTCTTTTCTATTATCAGCCTCAACTTATTTAACAGTGGAAGTGGAGTGTTAAAAGTTTTTATAAAAATAGAAAGAGGCTCACACGAATTCCAAACGCGCTCAAAGGTTTGGAATCAACGCTCCTATTCAAAACAACGCAAAAATGAAATACAACTTAAACAGACAAAAGATGAGGAAAAAATAACAACACCAGAGTGAAAACATCCTTGAAAATGACTGAAGAAGTCGCCGAAACTGCTTGGGACAATGAAAATTAAGGAAAGACTCTGTCCTCTCTTCTTCCTAAAAAATAATAATAAAAACATCAGGATGTTGGAAAAACTAAATAAAAAAATAATTAAATCTTCCTTGTCTGCCATATTGATGTTTAAAAGAAATGTTGCTGGTTATATATATATATATATATATATATATATATATATATGTAATAGGAATTAAAATTATCTCATGTTATGATCATTTCACCTTACAGATTAAGATTACCTATAAAGATTTTCTGTATCTTGTAAGGATAAAACTAAATAAAAAGTTTTCATTTAGTTTTAACTTATTAGATTGATCGGTTTGAAAATCCTTACAGGTAATCTCAATCTATAAGATGATATGATCATAACATGAGGTAATTTTAATTTCCGATTGTATGTAATTTATATGCTCTTTTGAAGAAATATATTCAGCTCTACTTGTGGATTAGTTTTAATATTTTATTTTATTAGAATTCACTTTCATCATATACCAACGGATTATGACCTGTATATATATATATATATATATATATATATATATATATATATATGGGAGGAAGTGTGGGTTTGAAAACAGTGACTATTACCGCTAATAATGCATGACTCCTCGGTAAATCGAATCGAGTTCTCTCAGTCACTGTGTGTTTATCTAAAAATAAATACGCTTAAATTCACCTTCATCCCTATCGTGCGCCAAAGGAAAAAGTTAACGCATTATCGAAAACTCGGTTATAAATTATAATTTATTTCAACAGGTAAGTTTTTAAGACCTACTTGGATTATCCTTTCCACTTACGGATTCGAATATATATATATATATATATATATATATATATATATATATATAATGTCTTACGATATACGTTATATTTAGTGGCTATAGGTGTTTGAGTAGACATCACTATTATTCAAGCGTATAATTTTCGTTTACCGTTTTTCGAGAATTTTTACTAAAATTATTGTTTACTATTATTATGTGAAACAAAATCTTGAAAAAACAGACGTCTATTCATACATGTGTTTCTACTAAATATGACGTGTGTCCTGATAAGGTATAATATTCGATTATAAATGAAAAATACATCAGTACCAGATAGATAGATAGATAGATAGATAGATAGATAGATAGATAGATAGAACAAGAAAAGTATTTTCGTGAGTCTCTCATTTTGTCTAATAAAACCTTTGGATACTCAGTGTAGTTGAAAGGTCGAGTAAAATTAGAGAAAGCTAGAAATCTAATTAATGAAAGCACCGTCTGTGTTATGATTGGATAGGATATCAATAAATGGTTTAATAAAAATGTGTGTGAACTGAATATGAATATATGTGTTTATGTATAGACAGACTCATAATTATAGTATTTGAAATAGCTATATATGTACTTATGGAGAAAATTTATTCAATATCGGAATAGAGCGTTTGCGGTTATAAACAATCATCAGACCATATGATGATCTCTTAAGAAGTGAAACTCTCAGTCACTATACTGTGATAATTTATGTCTCCACTGTTGATAGGATAAATAAATTTATATATACATGCAATGTGATAGGTAGCTCGACTACAGTCACTGTTTGACAGACGTGATGTTGCTTCCTTCTGTCTTTTCTACAAATACTTTCATGGTAACTGCTCCGACGAGCTATTTTCACTGGTTCCCAAACTGCAGGAATTTAAACGTGCTACTAGGTTGGCATATCGGTCCAACCATTTCACTGTCGAAACAGCTAAATGTAGCCATTACTTTTACTTCAACAGCTTCTTATCTCGTAATTATCTCGACAGTGGAACTCCTGTCCTCTCACTTGCTTCCTTGATAGCGTTATTCTTCAAATATTCAAATGTAATGTCAATCGACAATTTCTGATGTCTTGATGTTGACCCCCGTCCATCTGTTAATCTTTTCCTCACCCCCACCCTCATTTACTCTTGCTCTTACTCTCTGTAACCCCTTGAGTGCTTGTGGCACTTCCGCCTTGATTGGGGTGAAATGCTTTATATATATATATATATATATATATATATATATATATATATAAGCCACCTCTGTCTAGAAAAATAGATTTATCTGTAACCTTGGAAGCATTAATTTTGTTTTAGCTGTGTATTTAAAACCCAGTAATTTTAAAAAGTTACTCCAAAATTCGCTTGAGGATGAAATGGAACTAATGTTTTTAATTTAATCACAAAATTAAATTCGTGGATTTTAGCTTCCATTTTTGAAACATGGTTAGAACTGTGTAGCGAAAAAAACCATATTTTAAATCAATTAATTTATAATATATATATATATAGATATAGATAGATAGATAGATAGATAGATAGATAATATTAGTGGTTAACATACACATGCATATATGTACATATATCTAAAACACACAAATATATATACAAACGTACAAAGCCTTTTTATTATATATATATATATATATATATATATATATACACATCTTACTTGATCTCTCTCTCCCTCCCTTTCCCCCTCTCTCTCTCTCGTTCTCAAGCGTATTTATAGCGCCATCTATGACCATACACCTTAAAACAGTGTTTCTCCAACTTTTTAAGCAACAGCACACCTGAAAATATCACCGCGTACTAACCAACATTTATTTTCTTTTTGCTTTTTTTAATGTATAGATTTTAATATTATGAAATAAAACTATAGATTTAAAAAAAATACACGCACACAAATATGAACTTACTTTATTTCAATGTTTCTATTCAATTATTTATGCAGCTTATTTATTAACTGTTTTTTGTTTAGTTTTTTTCGTGAATTATTCAATGTTTGCTCTAATGTGCAAAGTTTAATATTTATTCATTTATTCAAATACTAACGCTGTACCATTACTTCTGCCTCCACGCATATATATATATATATATATATATATATATATATATATATATATATATATATATATATATGCTGTGACAACAATATTTCAAGGCGCACTTAAGACGATCAGGTGGCAGACTAGTGTGCCGAGGCAAAGCGGTTGTGAATCATTTCCTTAAAACAACATTTCTCTTGCACGTGACTAACACAATTAGAAAATTAGAATCCAAAACAGGCAAATGGGTAAGCTTAAATATCTGGGAAGTGATTTAATAGAAAAAATAAATTGTGAGACCGAAATCCTAAGGCATATTAAAAATAGCGAAAGATGTTTCACAAAAGCTGAGTAAAGTATTAAGGAACAGGAGAAATTAATTAGAAACAAAGAAAAAAAGTGCTGAGATTCTCATATCAAATCCTATATGGCATTGGATACTGGACAATTTCCTAACAGATGAAGAAGAATGGAAAAAGAAATATGTTTTACAGAAGGAGGCTAAGAATACCATGGCGTGAACATGTGGGTAACAAGGAAGTTTTAAGGAAAATGGAATTAAAAAGGAAGCTTATACTTAGAATCAGAAAGAGACAATTAGAATTTCTAGAATATTCTCACATCAGGAGGAAAGAGAGTCTGGAGAATATGACATTGAACGTTAGAGGGACAGAGAGTAAAAATGAGTAAGATATGTAGCGAGCTTGCGTAAATGGATTGCAGAACAATGATAGAGAGAAATAACGAAAAGAAAAACTTTACTATCAACTACAAAAGACAGGAAATTCTGGAGAGCTATGGTAGCTCACGCCCTGAAATTCCACAGCACATAGATTATGATGTTGATAATTCAAGTTGAATTTGCCACAGGCTAATCGAAATTCTGAGTTTCTTATGTATGTCCATCCATATATAATTTTTTTCGAACTTTCACACATGTTCGTAGTTCATCGAATGATACGAATCACATTGTTATACAAACTAGATGAACTATTAGTCTACGCAAGGTGGCAAGATTGGTGGCAATGGTATTAAGGCGATTACTTTGTACTGATTGTGATCTTGTCTGCTTTATGAACCAAAACATAATCAAATTTACTTCTTATTGAAAGGTGAAATAAATGAAACATACAAGTAATAAATGTCTATTTTACTACCTTGTCAACGAAAGTTTTTTTATTGTCATTATTCATTTGCGTCAAGGTTCGGCGACATTGGTCGTAAGCAAACAGTAGCGTAAAAGGAAAAAAAAATTCTTATATTCCTGGTAATTTTCAAAGGAATAAGTGCTATGATAAGTAGACATTGTTCACCGAAATTCCCTTTTTTTTTCAAAGCCCAAATATCTTTCCGGATATTAATAATAAAAAAAGAAATAATATAAACATATACCGAACGATTACAAATGGTGGTTGTTATCGTAAAAGATAAATCTGAATGAAAGAAAATAAGCAGACGTCGCCTTTCCCCATGAAGAATTTTTTTCAGTGAAAATCTTCCCCTATATCTGATAAGGCGGTGGGTTAAATTTGATTGCTGTGTGGGAAATAGTTTTAGTCTTTCAAAGTTATTAGACTAAAACTTTTTCTAAGTTATATGTAGACAGAGTTATAGACAAACTTATATTGTTAAAATGTGCGATATTTAAGGAATCGATCCATGTAGTATCGATTTTTATATTAATAGTTTTTATCAATAGTTACTGATAACTTTTTTTTTACCGAAGCCATTGAAATGATTTTTAATTTCCCAAAAGGCAGAAATTTAGCAATCTTTGAAATTAAATCATCTCTGACTTGAGATTGTTAGCGACACCCAAATAGTTATTAATCTGATGCAAACTTTTCCCTGTGTTTTCAAGAACAATATTTGTACTGATATAAATTTTTGGCATCATTACTCAGTTATAAAAGACTTATGCTTATCTTTCTATCATAAAGCAACATAACTCAAGAAATCTATGTATTAAATCATATAAGACATTTTTACGGTTTTGATTCGGTAAACTCGTCAAAAGATATTTGAACCTCTGGGATTGCTGGTTAGAAGCAAAATAGCATAGTTTTATGGTCTGCTATATTTATGAGTTAACTTACTCAATATCATGGATAGAGCTTATACAAATATAAAAATGGACACCGAGTAGACTCAGTTTGTTTCATGCGTGAACGCAATCATCCGGCCATATATATATATATATATATATATATATATATATATATATATATATATATATATATATATATATATATGTAACAAAACAGGAAGAATTTAGAAAACTATTATATTCATATTGTCAACTGAAAATTATGTCAAGTACTGTCACGTGTAGAAATATTGTTGTGTTGACGGATTCAACTATTTTTTTTTGATTTCTTGATAAATACTTCTAATTGTTAAGGACACTTTATTTTGTTATTAATAGTTACTTTTTATTAATAAATTCATATCGTTTTTTTGGCTTGATATTTTGATCATCTTTAACAGCCTGTAGAATGTGTTTTTCGTGGTCAGGTGTACGAGTGGATCTCAGTCTTCTTTGATCCATAGTTTGTGATGCAACGGGTTCTATCTCAGCAACACGACGATAAACAGCAACAAACGTTAGAAGATTCGGCTGCCTTCCAGTATGGAAATAAAGTCTGATACAGCCTCGCATCCATTGCCATTCACGCGGCCGTATGTAAAAATCAGATCTGTCTTCTCACGATATGAATATTCTGCCATTTTTAAACGGAAAAGTTCTCAGTTAACTCACTACTACACAAGTTAAACTTTGAAGACAGACTAGCCACAAATATACATGAATGGAAAATGTAACCTAGTCTAGATGACAATACAGCGCCATCTACCGTAAACTTTCTTTGAAATTGATAACTAAACAACGAAGGATTTGCGGACATATGTTTATATGAACTTTCCTCCTTGCTTTGGTATGAAGAACTCGCCACTAAAAGTTTGTGAAAACATTTGTAAAACACACACACACACACACACACACTCTCACTCTCTCTCTCTCTCTCTCTCTCTCTCTCTCTCTCACACACACATATATATATATATATATATATATATAGGATCGATTTTACAATGTCAAATAGGCACCTGATCTAAACATGACCTACAATCTGTTGTTAACTGGAGCAAGGAATGGCTTGTTCTTTTTAACGACTCCAAAATGAAACTGCTCTTTATTAATCATCTGAGAGACCTCTTTCTGCCTTCCATCATCGTGGACGATGCTAACACCCAGGAGAGTGACTCAATGCGCCTTCTGAAGCTAACGTTTTGAGCATTTGTCCATGTCTTCAATATTACTGCCGCATATCTTCTG